TCCCAGGCTTTCCCCCAGGCGTGGGGCCCGCGGGGCCGCCGCCTTGGTTTCCTCAGGCTGCGAGGGAGCCCGCAGTGTCATACCCGCTAGCGGTGTCCTGAAGAGACGGGAAGGGAGGCTGAGGGCACAGCTGGCCTGGGCGGAGCTGACGGGGGAGTGTCACCTCGCTGGGGTAACCAGGGGCAGCTGGCAGTGATGTTGCTGTTGGGGTTTGTCATGTTCCTGTTAGCCTGAGTGGGGCCGTTTGGGCCAAGAGCTGGCACCGGGCCCCGTGCTTGGGTCTTGTTTTGCAAGGATAGTGTTTGGAAGTCAGGTTGTGCTGAAGCTAGGGAGGCTGCGGATGGAGGGTCAGCAAAATCTTTTGGGGTAAGCTGCAGGCTGTCTTGTGCTTTGCGTGCCTCAGTCCCCCTTTCTCTTGTTGAGGAGCTTGCTACGGTGGTGTGTGTCCAGCTCTGGGCTGAGGAAACCTTCTCCTCTCCCACCAGGTCCCTGGGGCTGTTGGCCATGCCCCTTTAACACAATGCGCCTCTATTGCAGATGCAGATGCGATTTGACGGACTACTGGGCTTTCCTGGGGGGTTCGTGGATCGCCGTTACTGGTCCCTGGAGGACGGTCTGAATCGGGTGCTGGGCTTAGGTTTGGGCTGTGTGCGCCTGACAGAAGCTGACTATCTGTGCTCGCACCTGACAGAGGGGCCACATCGTGTGGTGGCACACTTCTACGCCAGGCAGGTGACCCTGGAGGAGCTGCACGCCGTCGAGATCAACGCGGTGCATTCCCGAGACCACGGGCTGGAGGTGGGGTGTCAGGGAGTTCTGAGATCTAGCACCCTGGGCCAGGTCTGCTGGGCTGCTGTCCGTTGCAGCTGGGCGGGGGAATGCACCGCATTTAACAGCCACTTGTGGCAAGTGCTGTGCACTGCCAGGTGGTATCCCCAGTTGTAAATCTTGGCTGTTCTGCAGGGCAGTCCTTGTTCCCTGTTAGTGGTGAGGATTGTGCCTCTGACATAGGCTTGGGGAGTTTTTGGCCACTTGGATCTGGCACTTGGCTCCTTTCTGTGGTGGTCATGTGCTGTACCCCAAACTGGACTCAGAGTGTAGATAAGTTGGCAAGAGGTAGACAGAGACACACTTCCTTTGGGGAATTTGGTTCTGCAGGATCTTTGGGAAGGTAGGAGCGCTTGTGCCAGGTTACCTAATTCCTCTGATGCAGAGCACAGATAGTGAAGAACCCCAAGGCCACTCTGGATAGGACACTGCAGTCTGCCAGGGAATAGTGTGTGTGCACTCTGTCTGCCCTTGGCACCCTGTTGAGGGTGACACAAAAATGAACAGTGGTATTCTTGTGGAATGGTAGGTAGGGTGAGACCTGGATCTAAAGAAGGTAGGTTATCCCTGGCAGCAGTGGGGGTACTCCTGGGATGTTGGACAGTGGTAGTGGGCAGTGTGGTGGGGCTAATAGTCATGGGTGAAGCTGTGGGACTCATCCTGGAGGGCTAGGGGAGCTTGGGTGTGGTGCTGGGGGATAAGCAGTGGTGCTCAGACAGTGGCAGGGAATGGTACGTGGAAGAGTCAGGTGAAGACTAGAAAGGTTGGGTGTGCTATGGTGCTTGGGCACAGGAAGTGCGGGGCATGATTTGGGTTTGAACTGAAGGCAAGGGCATTCTGTGGTTTGGTGGATAGGGTGGGGCATCTTCGGGGATGCTCTGTGGAGGTGCTAGAATGAGGGATGGGTGCTGGGCTGTGGGATGGTGGTGCTAGCAGCTACTGGGGCCCTGGGGTGGTGTGCACAGGGCTAAGCTGTGGGGAAAAAATATGGCAGTGGCTTTGGTGTTGGGGAGGAGTGCTGTTTGTGTTACTAAATTGTGTTGCTGTGCTGTTGCAGGTGATGGGGATGGTCCGCGTTCCCTTGTACACCCAGAAGGACCGCATGGGTGGGCTCCCAAACTTCCTGGGCAACTCCTTCATTGGGACTGCTAAGTTCCAGCTGCTCTTTGCCCTGAAGGTCTTGAATATGGTACCAGAGGAAAAGCTGGCAGAGGCAGTGGCTGCCACACAGAAGCCAAAGAAGCCAGCGATGGAGCCTGCAGCAGCACCTATGGCTGTGCCAGCAAACCAGCCGGTAGCCAGGCCAACAAATGAGCTGGCATCTGAGCCAGCTGCTGAATCCGTGGCTGAGCCAGCAGCCACTTTGACCACTGAAGCTGTGGCTGGGGCAACGGCC